CTGTCCCACCAAAGCAAATCCAGAAGGCCGGGAGGAGAGCCCGGGGGAGCGGAGCTGCTTGAGCAGTCGCTCCTTTGAGGGACATGCACACAACCCATCCCTGCAGCAGGCAGTGCCAGCCCTGACACTCCCATGCCCCTCACTGAGGGCCCTCAGCAGGACTGCTCAGTACCCAAGTCCCCTGTGTCTGCTCAGGATAATGTATCTGTTCTCTTATGGTCTTCTTGCCGTGATGGGCCCGAGCGGGCACTGGGGGAAGAGCTGCTGCCACACAGCCACCCCGATGGCCGACACCGGCTGACCACGCCACAGCAATTACCCCGTGTGCCCGTGCCTGGCATCGCCTCCCTTCCCTCAGCAGACCCTGGCACGGAGCCACTGCTTCCTTCCGGGAACATTGACTTCTGAACAGCCCCTTGGTCCATCTCTGGGGGAAAGCAAGAGAGAGAACTGGATCAGATGGAACCATTCCACATAAGGGAGGTGGCATCTTCAGGAGGCAATACTTAAAACAGACATGGAAAAGGTTCATGAAAATGGATGATGTTTTCCCAGTGGGTCAAGGCACTCCCTCCTCCAAACAGCCGCCACACCGGAGCTGCCGGGAGACCAGGCAATGGCAGGGGATCTCCTGGTCTGCAGGGCCCGTGGTGCATTGGGGCACAGGGTCAGGGGATGCTCAAGGCCTTCCTGCAGAGGCCGGGGAGAAGCTGCAGCCAGGCCAGGTGGGGAAACAGCCCCGCAAGGCGGGAAAGCAGCAGCGGGGCAGCGAGGCTGCGATGGATCCCTTCCCGCTGTGCAGCCACTGCCTGTCCACACGTGGATCTAAAGCCCCCGGCTGAGGAGTCTCATGGCTCAGGATGAGGGAAAGAAACCCACTTTGCCCTCCCTGCAGTTCATTCAGCATTTGGTCCAGAAGATCCAATGCCTTCTGGGATAGTTTGTCTCCTGGAAGTTGATGGCTGCCTCTTGGAGGATCTTAATAGAAAGTAGCTCTATTTGACATGAATGGATTACAGAAAATCAGAGCTTGGCCTGTGAGGTCAGCAGAGACAGACTACTCACCCCTGCCATGTGAGCTGGGCTTGTGCAGAGGAATAAGCTCAGGAGCTGGAAAAGTCCTCCCTGTGGACACCCCTGTAACTCAACAGCCAGAGAAGATTCTGTCACCTGGCTCTTGCCAAGTGGTCAATTATTTTTCTTTGAGCACACATTGAGAATTACCTGCAGGAGACCTCAAGGCACTCAAAGCATCTTCCATCCAAGCTGTTGGAGAAGCATTCCCAGCACCCCCATCTAGAAGCAAACAGAGATGGGAACCATTTCCATTGCATGCTGGGATCCCCTCCTGCCTCAGAGAACTGTGGCACTGCAGGGGCTCGGGGAGCACCATGGGGGCCAGATGTCAATGGACATGGCCAGAGCTGCAGAGGGGCCTGGGCAGCTCTGGGTTGGTTCCTGGCTGCTCTCCACAGTCTTTCCAGGCCCTGTGCAACATCCCTGCGGGAGCGGCTGGAGCAGCCAAGGGCCCCTCAGGGCTCTCTCCTGGCCACAGGAATCCCTGGCTAAAGCCCTTGGACAAACTGCAGCAGGCAGTGCCACAACCATCCCTCGTTGCCCAGGACAGCTCTCACAGCCCAAGTCAGGCCCTCTCAGGAGACACGTGGAGTCTTGTTCTTACCATCTGCCTTTTTCCCAGAAAGGACAGCCCTCACAGCTGTTTCCAAAAACCTCAGGATAAATCAAACTCTCTAACAATATATTTTATATTAGAAAGCAGATATTACTCCATTACAGTTCTGGATGCACATGGGGTCACACCCCCAAAAACACACAGGCACTTTTGAAACATTTCACTATTTAAAGATTTTAGCAAACAAAGAAATTTAACGTTCATAGGTTATAAATTAC